TCCCATGTGATCTGGCCGTCACATTTAGGCCCCGTGTTAACTATCTCCAGACTATGTTGCTCGCAAAGATCTAGTAATAACTTCCCATTGGTGTCTGAATATCCGTCAAGGTCATGTATGTGGGCATTCATGTCCCCTAGAAGGATGATTTCGGCCCCATTACCAAATTCCTTAATATCCGCACTCATGCAATCCACTATCTCCTGATTCTTTTCTCTGCAGTTATTCCCCGTCCACAAGTAGGCTACCCCTAGCCACGTTTCCTTTCCACCTACTGTGCCCAGAACCCAGAGGTGCTCTGAACACGTCTGTTTCACTCTAACCCATTTGGCTCCGCGGTGAATTAGCATTCCTACACCCCCACCTTTCCTTTCCGATATGGTCCTGTTACACCCTTCCCAAACATAATTTTTAATATGTGGTGGCTCTTCCAAGTCTCTAAGGTGTGTTTCTGTAACCGCATACACGCCTATCTGTTCTTTGTTTAACTGCTCCTCAATCTCTAACCATTTTGCCTTCTTTCTGCCACCCTGCATGTTTATGTAACTAATTGCAACACGCGCCTTTTTCCTTTTTCTTTTACCTTTTTTCTGGTTTTTCGCAATTCTACCTGTCAAAGCGTCCTCCTGGTTGTTTTCCCTGTTACGAGCTACCCCGGACTCCGAAGGGCCCGTGAGCCCCCCAAAAAAGCTACTGCGCGTCCTGCCAGTCGCCAGCCCACCTCGTGTCCAAGCCTCTTATCGAAATGAATCTTGTCTCTTTGGAATCCACCCCACCTGTGCACTTCCCTGTTTAAATCCACTACCTCGAAACCCTTCTCTCGACTAATTCGCCATATCTCTTTGTTTGCGTCGACAACCGCTCTTTGTAGGTTGACGTTGTGTACTGGTACTTCCGGTACTGTGCATACTACAATTTGCACCTGGGGGGACACGGTGCGCATGTCATCCACCCCTTTCGCCAAGGTCGTCGCTAGTCCTGACGATTCTTTTTTCAGGACGTCATTTAACCCTCCCGCAATTACAACGAGGTTACGATTGTTAGCTTTAGCTGCGAGTTGTTCACCCGCTTGACTCATTACTGTCCCCAGCGTTTGTCCTGGGAACGTCCCTATCGCAACTCTCTTGTCGCCTTTCACCCTTTCTTTGATTGCCGCTGCGCATCGGACTAAATTTGAGTCACCGGCGATGATGACCTGTTCAGACATTCCTTCTGAAACCTGCACCTGGCTGCTGACTAGGTGACTAGCGTGAGTCACGGCTGCTGGTTTGCTCCCTCCCTCCCTCAAAACTACTTCCCGGTAGCTGGGCCCTGTGGCCAATGTATCTGCCTTTGTCATGCCTGTTTCCTTCATCTCTCCCGCACGGGGGGTCGTCGCCATAATGCTTCCGCCGTCACCTGCGTCTTCGTTCCCTTTCACGACCTTCGATAGGCCCTTCTCGGCTGCCCGGAGCCTTTCTTCCATGGCTGACGTTTTCTCTCGCTCCTTCGCCAATGCATTCTCCAGCTCTGCGATTTTCTCCATGAGCCCACTCTGGACCGCCATCATATTTTTCATTTTCTCCTCGAACTCGCACTGTCTACACTTGGCGTCATCTTCTGCTTTCTCCTCCGCCCTAATTTCCACCTTCCACCCTACCCCGCACTCTGAACACTTTACGGTCTTTTTGACCATGGCTAGCTCAGTTTACCGATGCCCACGTGTTAGAAAACTGTACTAAAATACACTGGTCTAAGCCAAAATACACTGGTCTACATGGATGGATGGATGGATGCTATGAGCGTCCCCTTTATAACGGGGTGGTGGCAAATATGCCACCAGGCTCGACAAAAAAAAAAAAAACCTTTTTTTTTATGTTGGCCTAATGCCTCTACTTCGATAAATTCTATCGTAATGGAAAAAAGGTAAATTTTCAGCTTAAGTTCTCTGCCATTTACGGCACACTGTCCATATTTTATTTTTCCAATATTTATTTTTGTCCTTTCTCTCTAATTTTCTGCCACCAATACTCTAACCGTCTCTTACTTATTTCAATCGCGGGTGTGTTCAGCTTTCCATTGTTGTCCCTAAAACCCAAGGCTTCCTGTAGGCTCGTACCCAAACGTACACCTGGGTGGATATCTCCACATTCAATCAGAACATGCTCCGCCGTTTCCTTATCTTTCCCGCAGCATGTGCATTGTTCTTCTTCTTTACTGAATCTTGCTTTATAACTACGCGTTCTAAGGCAACCCGATCTCGCTTCAAACAGTAAAGCGCTTCCCCTTGAATTATCGTAAAATGCCTCCCTCCTTATTTCATTTTTGCCCTTTCGGTAGTTACTCAAAGCCGGTTTTTTCTCCATAGCTGCCATCCAGTAAATCCTCTCCGCCTCCCTGACTTTTCCCTTAACGCTCTTTGTTGACATATGGCTCACAATACCAGCCGTATATTTACTAGTGAGTCTTCTAGTTCTTTTTCTCCACTGTGTGTCCACGCTCTTCCTATACAAATAACGGAACACCTTCTCTGCCCATCTACTCTCCTTCATATTTCTTAGCCTTTCTTCGAACCTTATTTTGCTCTGTGCTTCCCTCGCCTCAAAACCTGCCCACCCCATATCGCCCTTTACAGCCTCGTTTGTCGTCTTCCCGTGAGCACCCAACGCGAGGCGTCCCACAGTCCTTTGATTTACATCCATTCCCGATTGCACCTCTGCCCTCATGCACACCACTGAGTTCCCAACAGTAAGCCCTGGAACCATTACACCCTTCCACAGACCTCGAAGCACCTCATACCTATTGTATCCCCACAACGCTCTGTGCTTCATTATTGCCGCATTCCTCTTTCCTTTTGCTGCCGAGGCTTTTTCCTGTACCTCCATGTATCTATCACTCTCATTTACCCATACTCCAAGGTACTTGTATTCACTTACCCTCGGTATTTCTTGGCCTTGTATGGACACCGTCTGATCACAGGGATCATTGAATACCATCAAACCACACTTCGTTACACTGAATCCTAGTCCAAGAGCTTCACCTTCCCTTCCGCATATATTCGCCAGCTGCTGTATATCATATCGACTGTCCGCAAATAAGACGATATCGTCCGCATAAAATAAACCTGGAAGCTTCTGCTCAATCATCATGCCGCCCTGGGGACGGTACCGCCATCTAGTGAACACTGCAAGAACTAAACTAGAGGTGGCTACATACAGGCTACAGGGGACGCACAGCCCACGCCCTAAGGAGCTTCGCCCTTAATAGGTACATGTGACATAAATTGGCACGCACTACTACTTTATTATAAACTCCCGCACTCATGTCAACAAAGAGATTAGCAAAGCTTTTGGTAAACAGTCCCATCAACGTCTTTCCCGCGGAAACTTTTTTTCCGTTTGACCTAGAGTGCGATTAAGACAGCAGCATGACTATCATCAAATTTTTATTATAATTTTGCTATGTCTGAAAAAGAAAACACTATATTTAGAACTCCTTAGGAACAGTCGACAATACATACACGTTAACGAATGCGACTAAAGCAGAAAACCAAATAAAAATAAATTTATAATTACCGGATTTCCACGCGTCAAAACAAAACAACGATATGATAACGAGGCATATCATAGAGAATAGTTTCGGAAATTTCGGCCATCTGGAGCTCTTTAACGTGCGATTGCGTCTCACTGTATTCCCACATGTAGTATTTCTCTTCCGAAGAAACGTAATAGCTGCGAACGTCATTGAGCCCGCGCTTTTTCGGTTGGCAGCCGAGCACCGTTACCATGGCATGCAAGAATAAAAATAAAGCGAGGATACTATAGTATCCTGTCTAGGTGCCATTTTGCACCTCGCCTTTCCTAACTGTGTTAACTAAGAGAAACCCTAAGCCTGATCCTTGTTCTAAACCTTTCTTTTTGTCTTTTTTTTGCAGCTAAACGAAGGAGGAAGACCATAGCGGTTGATCGGGTACTTTCCGCCCGTTCCAGGCTACCAAAGCCCCATCGGACTTTTATATGATCGATTAACGCTCACTAAATAAACGTGTTTTCATGTTAGGAAAAAAAAGAGGGTGTCTCGATAAATTTGCAGGTGAACGCTCAATGAATCTCAGTGAACGCTCAATGAAGTCCCCCCTTTTCTCCCTCCCTCTCTCTCACACACACACACACATACACACGCGTATCTGTGGCGTCACGAGAAATTTTACTCTACGTTGAACATGTCCATATATATATAAGTAAATACGTATTTGTGGGATAACAAGAACTTTTATATATAGAAAGAGAGAAAGTAAAAGTTGCAGTTGATTCTCGAAACAGGCAGGAAAAGTGTTCCCCCCTTTCCCTCGTGGCTACTTGTGGCACCGACTTCCGCGTTAAAATGCGCATGTATGTCTTACAAAGCGGATGGAGGGATGGCCGCCGCTGTATAGCTCAGTTGTACAGCTCAGCATGGGACGCGTCATTCGAAGGTCGCAGGTATTCCTCCATTTTTCTGTGTTCGCATTTACATTATACTTACTACTTGTAACATCACCTATACTTTCCGTGGCATTACTTCCCTTAGTTCTAATTACGATTGTGTTTAACAAAGAAAAACGAGCCATTAGGTTTGCATTACTTTCGTTATCGGTAAATAAGGTATTGCAGCGCTTTTGGATAGGTCAAGTGTTAAGGAAAGTTAATTTTTTTTTGCTGCATCACGTTTCAGAAGAAGGATGCAGAAGTCAACTAGCGCTGAAAACTTCTGAATAAATGTGCGCACCGTTTTCGAATAACAAGCTAAACAAACACAACCAAGTATAGTTACGTTCGTTGCTTATTAGCGGAGTGTTCTTTTGGGCTAGTTGGTTCATTTTGGCAGTAAGAGAGTGCCGGAGAAAACAATACACCAAACGAGGAGGACACACACAAAAGGTGCCTTTTGTTCACGTCCTTCTTTTCGTCGGGTGTGTTGTTTTCTCCAGAGCTCTTTTACTGCTTGCTTAGCAAGAACTATGTTGAAAAAAACTATTGGACTGAACGGAAACCACGCTTTTTATTGCACTTTGCAAATCCTTACCATTTTAACTTTTCAATTTTTTTTTTCATTTGAACGTCTGGTTTGTAAGAAAGTTGGTTATCATCACCAGTGATTCCAGCGGTTTGTCCATCGGAACCATGTGGCCGGCACCCTGGAGTGATCAAACATGTTGTTGAAGGAACAAATGCGGCAAGGAAATTCTACACAATAGTTGATATAACCCCTCGGTTACATTAACCCTAACCTGGTCTGACCATTTTCTGTTTACCAGCGCAATGAATACATGCGCACTGGGCGTTGACGATCACGTCTGCCAAAATTTTGGAACGCGGCGCATCGCGGAAGTGGATCAAATTTCAAACGGAACGCTGCTTGCCTATCGTCTTGCGGGCGCGCGCCCGTTAAAGAAAGGGATGACATAGTACAACAAGGAATATCCCTACGTATAAGTGCCATTACCTTGACGCTGCTTGTCTACGTAGACATCCCTGTTCTGACGTCCTCCACAGTAGCCCTTGACACTCGGCCTTGAACGTGACACGTGGCGCAAGGCTGAAATGTGGGCACTCTTTCCAAAAGCGTGAACGCTGTTAGCACGCTGTTGAAGAAAGTGCAACTAGATGTCATTTAAACGGGTCTACGTATGTCTCATTGACATTTCGGTAATTGCGTGAGCCCTTTGAGAACTAGACCTATGGTGAATGACCAGTTATACAACTTCATTAACGAATAAGCAGTGTACCGGTAACAATATGCACTAGGTTTGCCTCAGGTGACGCCGTTCGTCCTTTTTGAAATCGTGCTGCGGTACCGTTGGAACACCTGACATATATAACATGAATTATTGGCTGTGAGACGCGTAGTGATCTATGGGGTTTCGAGTGATAGGCAGGCGATCATGATGTGAACGAGATAGATAATGCGAATACTACGATTGTCTCCTCGAGGCTTTTGAGCCAAATGACCGGGAGGCAGGTGGTACCTCTGGGTACCACCTGCCTCCCGAGGATTCTTAACAATCCCATACGAGGATTCTTAACAATCCCAGCAATATCCGAGGTCAATCTTTGTATTGTTTATAACACGCATCGTTCAAGTTCATATACATGAAGCACTCTATATGAGACATATAATTGGGATAAAGAAAATAACAACCTTTACGGTGACGAAAGTGATGTTGTTGGCGAAGTTCTCCACGAAACCGGCAATGAGTGGTCCGACGTGCCACATCCTGTACAGCGAGGTGCTCTGTCAAGGAAAATAAGAGGTGCGTAATATAATGAACAGTTTCAAAACGCAGTTCAACCAGAATTAGCGAGGTGAATGCACTTGCAAAAATGCAACCATTTTATTGAATTAAGCATGTGACTTCCACAAGAACAGATAGGCTACCACACTACGTCTTGTTGGCCTTCACGTCATTTTCTTCCCTTTTCCATTATCATGCGTCATTATCACACACACACACACACACACACACACACACACACACACACACACACACACACACACACACACACACACACACACACACACACACACACACACACACACACACACACACACACACACACACACACACACACACACACACACACGCACATACACACACACACACACACACACACACACAACACACACACACACAGAGAGAGAGAGAGAGAGAGAGTCTGAATCAGAGCGCCACATAGGCAGAGAGGTCGGCCTGGGCTAGTTCGCTCTAAAGTCTGGTCTCCTGTATTTTTAAGCAAACCAACCCCAGCTTTTATAGAAGTTTTTGTTCTTGTCTGGCTACACATTTGCTGATAAAACGGCCACGCATCTGCATTTTAATACAGTGAAAATAACTTCCTCTGCTTGGAAGTACAGTGGAAGTATCTTTCACGCTTTACAAACACACGCGTCGTTTATACGTGCTTCACAATGCAACATGAAATATTGCAGCAATAATGCGTAGGCCAAGCGCCCATTGCCAGTGGGTGTCCGAACATGTGATTAACATCATAGCTTCGTTGTTTAAAGCCACTCACTCGCTACAAAAGGCCCACACGCTGCGCCTATTCCCTTGAGGCCACCTGGTGGGTGCATAGCAAGTTTGAAAAAGGTTTCTTGCGCCAAGTGTTTTAAGTGAGCTCTTGAAACAGGATATAACTATCGCGTTGAACTCCTAAAGGCAAAGCTTTGGGGTCCCTTAATTTTTTTCTTGCTGTTCCTTAAGCTGCGGTAACTCATGTTTGACGGTGACTCATTTTCCTTGATTTCTTTTTTTTCTGACAATGCGATACACATCATGACACCTAAGTAATTCAATCGAACCACTGCCAAGCACCAGTTTTACCCTATGTGTCACACCAATTTTCTTTTGATCCACGGTAATAAAGGTCGACAAATCCAACGCTTGGTCAAGATAAAGAGTGCACAGTTCATCGCAGGGGCGACTGTTGTAGCTTGGAAGGGCCAACGAGAGAGAGAAGAACGCGTATTCTTGACTTTCACTGTTTCAGAACCTGCCGCTAGGTCTCTAGGACACTAGCCCCCGTATTCACAAACGCTCCTCGACTCGACTTTCACCTTTCACTTGACAGAGTTGAGCACTGCGCCACAGCTCGGCTCAAAATGACGCTGCTCTAGTCGAGAATCACAGCAGATTATCGCTGATATGCAGTGACTTGCCGTACCTAAAGATGGCACTCTCATCGGCTCTCTCAAGGGAAGTTGAAGCATTGAGTGAAGGGACGTTCTAGAATACGATGGTAGGCCAGTTGACACTGTCGCCATAACCTTGAAATCGAGCTCAATTGTATACGAATACACAATATCTAAGGTCGAGATGTTGCTATGTTCCTTATCGAGAAGTTTTTACCTTATATCCCAAGCTGCGAGTGAACCATTCGCCTCCTTGGAAAGGGCAGGCCATGTCAACGTCGCCGTGATAGATCAGCGCTTTGAGATGGCCAGATTGGGCCTGCAGTTGTTGGACTACCTCCCGCATGGTCAAGTGCTCCTCGGTGAAGTTTAGGACTTTTCTGTAAAGCAGCACGCAGAAAGCGGGTAGTTCTGAGTGATGCACGTGTACGCCGTCGTCATTTGCAACTTTTTTTTGCTCATATATTTACAACCATCATTGCACGAGAAAATAAAACACACAATAAAACTCACACTAAAGAAAAGCGACACAAAGGAGATCACCTAATTGAGCAGCTTATTTTCTCTAGCTATTTGTGATCCGTCTACGCGAATGAAATTCTTTTATGAGAGTTTGGAAGGTAAAGCGCTAGCACCACTATATTATTAGCATTAATACAAAGGGAAAAACCTCTATAAGCTAATTTTGAAGGACGATTGATTGATGTGTGGGGTTTAACGTCCGAAAACCACCATACGATTTTGAGAGACGCCATAGTGGAAGGCTTCATGAATCTCGACCGCCTGGGTTTCTTTGAACAGCACCCTAATCTGAGCACACGGGCCTACAGCATTTTCAGCTCCATTGAAAATGCTGCCGCCGCAGCCGGGATACGATTCCTCGACCTACGGGCCAGCAGTAATTTTATTTACTTATTTTTTAAGGGTGCTTTACAACTCAATCAATCCACGGCTTTTTGATATAGTGAAGCCCCGCCGCGGTGGTCTAGTGACTAAGGTGCTCGGCTGCTGACCCGCAGGTCGCGGGATCGAATCCCGGCTGCATTTCTGATGGAGGCGGAAATGTTGTAGGCCCGTGTGCTTAGATTTGGGTGCACGTTAAAGAACCCCAGGTGGTCGAAATTTCTGGAGCCCTCCACTACGGCGTCTCTCATAATCATATGGGGGTTTGGGGACGTTAAACTCTACAAATCAATCATTTGAAATAGGGAACACTGATAAATTTACTGCACCAAACAGAGCCAGAGTAATAACTTGATCCTGTATTTTGGTTGCTAGCTTTGATAACATGTCGTTCCACGGCCAGATACGTCTGTTAAAGTTAGCTGCTCCACTTCTGGGGTAGTCATTTGGCCGGCTTCTAGTACCAATGTATCCGTACTAGAGGCGTCTGCAAAAAGCTTAGTCTGTACTGTGAAGCCAGAATAAAGTTTGTTCTCTCACCACTGTGAGCCCCGCCGTGGTGGTCTAGTGGCTAAGGTACTCGGCTGCTGACCCGCAGGGCGCGGGTTTGAATCCCGGCTGCGGCGGCTGCATTTCCGATGGAGGCGGAAATGTTGTAGGCCCGTGTGCTCAGATTTGGGTGCACGTTAAAGAACCCCAGGTGGTCTAAATTTCCGGAGCCCTCCACTACGGCGTCTCTCATAATCATATAGTGGTTTTGGGACGTTAAACCCCACATATCAATCAATCAATCATCTCACCACTGTGAAGCCATTTGGCAACTTTGTGCTTCTCAAAAGTTGAATAAGTTGAATTAAATTGAATTCACTTACGAGCACGGCACCCACACATGAGGAGTCTGCTCAACGTGCAGCGCTTCGATGACGTCACGTCTGTTGTAGTAGAGCAGCAAGTTGTCCTGGTTGTAGCAGTTATGGTCTGCGTCACTGTCCTAGGGAGGACAAAGCACATCGAGGTGTCATGCCATTGTTGCGAATAAATAGAATATACCAGTTGGCACAGCAATTATACTAGAGCGGCATTTATAGACTGATGCTCTGTTGGGACATATTGCGCCGTGGACGCAGATACATCAACAGCCTATACGCTATACAGCTACACGGCATATTCGATACATAGGACTAGATGATATACGCCTAGACGGTATACGGCCATGACACACTAAAGGAAGCAGTAAATTCAGAATTAAGATTGCTAGAAATATCATGAACGTCAGGAATGTTTTTTAGTCAATATGTATGGTATCAGATCAAGTTATGGGTTGTGTGTATGCTGTTACTAAATGTTGGTATTATTGTGAAAAAAAAAACGTTTTACGCAAGCAAAGCGAGGCATACGATAGCTGCACACTTCCGGGCTTTATCTCTTGGCCACAGTGACTCGAAGATTGCTGACACATTGCAGGATTTCGTCAAGGGTTCGTCAAGGGTCAATCAATATTTGCTCTTATCTGTTACTTTTCCAAATTCCTTAATAAATTCCAATGTTTCAATTTTCAAATTTCAATGTTTATATTCTTTTACTGTTTATTATTCCATTAGTAAATCTGTCTTGTATAATCTTTCTTTTTTTTTCTCTTAAATATACCAATCCTAATCTTTTATTAGAAATTCTATGAAAGCTCTCCGGTTCCTGGCCAATCCACCAGCGTGGGTGTGCACCAAAGATTCAAGGAGCTTGACTTGATTTGACGTGAATACACACAGAAGTTGTCAAGCTAAGCTTTCTCTTCAATCGCATCACTAAACCGATGGCGTGTTCATACGAGCGTTCAGATGCCTCACCGAGGTTCGCAGGCCGAGTGTCTTGGTCAGAAGCTTCTTCGTTGCGTATTGGCTGGTGATCTCCGGATGCCGCCTCGACAGCAGTTCTCGTGGTAGCGTTTTAATTTCACATGGCACGTAGAGGTTGTACAAGTTCAGCCCTTCCTCTAGGATGATATCGTAAGCGACGTTCACCTTCAGAACGAAAACGAAGTTTCCAACGTGCGTGTAAATGAACTAGGCAAGAACGGAATGAGTACAGTAGGTAATGCGAGCACAACCCGAATAAATATGCCGCTAAACGGCTGCGTTACAGTTACGTTGATTAAAAAGGTCGAACTGCGAAGATAAATCAAGAGGACTAATAAAGAATACATCAATGAAATCAACAAAATGATTTGACACGCTGGCGTTATTTATTTATTTATTTATTTATCTATTTATTACATACTGCTGAGCTGTTTACCCTTACTTGAGAAGAAATGGGCATATATACCGAACTTCTTACAGCAAAAATAGTGCAAATTTACATATATATATATATATATATATATATATATATATATATATATATATATATATATATATATATATATATATATATATATATATATATATATATATATATATATATGGCAAGTATAAACATCAGGATTAAATAAGATTTCTAAACATTTCGCCGGTGCTGACAGTAACAGCGAAAACTTGTCTAGAGAGATCATAAGATCTCTACAAGAAGACACTAGCTAATGTTGAGTAATCGAGTTATCTTCCTTAACTCAACCCAGTGATATATATATATATATATATATATATATATATATATATATATATATATATATATATATATATATATATATATATATATATATATATATATATATATATATTGTTAAGCGGTTTATTGACGGACACTCAGCGATGATTCACGACAGCGACAGTCAATGCGGGGATCGACTCTCTGCACGAGCTGCTCTTCTTCTTAAGAAAAAGGGCGACCCACTAGAAGGCGCTGAAGAGGATGACCCACTGTTCAAAGGCTTTACCACAACTACCCCGGGTACGAAAAGGGAGCCGCCTGGCGACCTAACAGCTGGTTACAATGAGCGGGTCATGGTAGGCCTTGAGGCGCTCCACGTTAACAATGTCGCGTCCTCGACGACGCATGTCCGAAGATTGTTCGATGGGTTCAATCAAGTAGTTGACTGGGGAAGTGCATTTGACGACACGGTAGGGGCCTTCGTATTTAGGCAATAGTTTTGAAGATAGGCCAGTTGCAGTAGTAGGGATCGAGAGCCAGACGAGCGCTCCAGGGAGGAATGTGGGTGCAGTAGTACTGGCGTCAGCGCGAATGCTTTTTTGCCGCTCTTGATCATGCGCAGTAAAGGTCTTTGCAAGCTCTCGACATTCTTCAGCAAGCTTGGCTGTAGCAGAAATAGGTGCCCACTCAGACGGATCTGGCCTGTACGGAAGTATCGTGTCGATGGTGTGTGACGGGTGCCTTCCATATAATAAAAAGAAAGGTGAAAAGCCAGTAGTGCTCTGAGGGGCGGTATTATATGCGTAGGTGACGAAGGGTAGAATGGAATCCCAATTCGTGTGATCGGCGGTGACGTATTTGGAGAGCATGTCGCCCAGCGTACGGTTGAAGCGTTCTGTGAGGCCATTCGTCTGCGGGTGGTAAGCAGCAGTTTTGCGGTGAACAACGTTGCACTCTTTGAGAATGGCTTGAACGACTTCAGACAGGAAGACACGGCCTCGGTCACTGAGCAGTTCCTGGGGTGGGCCGTGTCGCAGGATGAATCGTTGGAGCAGAAAGGAAGCCACATCGCTCGCTGTAGCCGCGGGAAGAGCGGCCGTTTCGGCGTATCGCGTGAGGTGGTCCACAGCAACAATGGCCCAGCGGTTACCAGCCGACGTTAGTGGAAGTGGCCCATACAAATCGATGCCAACGCGCCCAAACGGCCTGGCAGGGCAAGGTAGAGGTTGCACACCTACCGGCGACAGGTGCGTTGAAGTTTTGCGGCGCTGACATTCTATGCAGGAGCGAACGAATTTCTGCACGTAGCGGTACATGCCGCGCCAAAAGTACCGTTGGCGAATGCGGTGGTAAGTCTTCGATACCCCGGAGTGCGCACACTGCGGATCAGAATGAAATAATTCGCATATGTCAGAGCGCAGACTGCGAGGTATGACTAGTAGCCACTGGCGGCCGTCACCGTTGTAATTGCGTCGATGGAGGAGGTCGTCGCGAACGGCGAAATGGTGGGCTTGACGACGCAACGCGCGAGTGGATGGAGTGGATGGATCAGTCAGCAAGTCTATCAGTGAGGCAATCCATTGATCCTTGCGCTGTTCAGTAGCAATAGCATGAATGCTAATCGAAGAAATGGCAAGGTGAGACACTGAGTTGTTGGCATTGTCGTCAGGCAAGGGAGAGCGCGACAGGGCGTCGGCGTCAGCATGTTGCCTTCCATTGCGGTACAGCACGCGGATGTCATAGTCTTGCAGGCGAAGTGCCCACCGGGCGAGACGGCCTGAGGGATCTTTCAATGACGACAACCAGCATAGTGCGTGGTGGTCGGTGACGACATCAAATGGGCGACCATACAAATAAGGTCGGAACTTTGCAAGGGCCCAGACGATTGCCAAACATTCTTTCTCGGTGACTGCGTAATTAGTCTCGGCTTTAGTAAGCGTACCGCTCGCGTACGCCACGACATATTCCGGAAACCCTGGTTTGCGCTGCGCAAGGACAGCGCCGAGGCCGACACCACTGGCATCCGTGTGTACCTCTGTAGGGGCCGTAGGGTCGTAGGGGCGGAGTATGGGAGGCGACGTCAACAAACGACGAAGTGTTCTGAAAGCGTCGTCGCACTGTGATGACCACGAATGGAGAGGCCCGTTACTTCCGAGAAGCTTCGTCAGCGGCGATATGATAGTCGCGAAGTTTCGAATGAAGCGCCGAAAGTAGGAACACAGTCCTACGAAACTGCGCAGTTCCTTCACGGATGTCGGCTTGGGGAACTCGGTCACGGCCCGAAGCTTGGTTGGATCAGGGAGAATTCCGTCCTTGGACACGACGTAGCCGAGTATTGTCAGCTGCCGAGCTGCAAATTGGCACTTCTTTAGGTTCAGTTGCAGACTGGCGTTTCTCAGACGCGTTAAAACATGCCGAAGGCGTTGAAGGTGCGTCGAGAAGTCAGGAGCGAAAACGACGACGTCATCGAGGTAGCACAGGCACGTGTGCCATTTCAGGTCACGCAGAACTGTATCCATCATGCGCTCAAAGGTGGCGGGCGCATTGCACAGCCCAAACGGCATAACGTTAAACTCGTACAAGCCGTCGGGGGTGACAAAAGCGGTCTTTGGTCGAGCGTCCTCAGCCATAGGTACTTGCCAGTACCCTGAGCGCAAATCGAGGGATGAAAAGAATTCTGCTCCTTGCAGGCTGTCGATCGCGTCATCTACCCGCGGTAGTGGATACACGTCCTTACGAGTGATCTTGTTGAGGCGCCGGTAGTCCACACAGAACCGCACAGAACCGTCCTTCTTCGTGACGAGAACGACAGGAGATGCCCAGGGGCTGCTAGAGGGGCGAATAACATCGCGGCGAAGCATGTCGTCGACTTGCTCGTTGATTACACGGCGTTCTGTGGGAGATACGCGATATGGACGTTGCCGCAGCGGTGGCTGTGTGCCTGTGTCGATGCGATGCGTAACGGTGGATGTGCGGCCGAGAGAAGGTTGAGCGACATCGAAAGAAGAGCGGAATTCTTCCAACAGGCCCAAAAGCTGGGAACGCTGGCCCTGCGTAAGGTCGTCGGGTATGCAGGGACCGAATATATCATCGGATGATGAAGCAGATGTCGAAACAGCACCAAGCGTACAGGAACTTGGGTAGTGCATGTCATCGGGTTGATCCATAACTTGCGCGTCTTCGATGGGTTCCACGCTGCCGAGACATTCTCCTCGCACCAACGTAACGCTGTACGGAGATGGGTTCACAACAAAAATAGTGGTGATGCCGTGAGTGAGTTGGACGGTCGCGAAAGGAACCAGCAAGCTTTTTCTTATGAAAACACGATGAGATGGCGAGAGGAGTGCAGCGGTGTCAGAAAGGCTTGCGCAGTAGAGCGACACCGCAACGGACGAGTTTGCAGGCACTTGAGTGTCGTCTCTGACGAGTAACTTTCTTGCAGCGGATGGACTGTCGGCCGGCGTCAAAGAAGAGAATGGCGCGAGTTCTATTTCTGCTGGTGCGCAATGAATGACGGCGTCGTGGCGGGAGAGAAAATCCCATCCTAGGATGACGTCGTGAGAGCATGAAGAAATTATGATGAATTCGACCGCATACATCACGTCCTGAATCATAAGGCGGGCTGTGCACATCGCTGTAGGGTGAATTCTTTGGGCGCTGGCTGTACGGAGGGAGAGCCCGCAAAGCGGCGTGGTCACTTTGCGCAGTAATCGGCAAAGTTTTTCGTCCATCACGGATACGGCGGCTCCAGTATCTACAAGGGCAGATGCACGAACGCCATCCACAAGCACGTCTATCACGTTCGACGGGCTTTCCTGAGGGCTTCCGCAGTTCGACAGCGTCGCAGCCCTTGCCTCGTGGACTGCGACGACTAGTTTTCCTGGTCGCCCTCGAGTGGACGTGGCCGCATCGGTGACAGTGAGCGACGTCGTGGAGATGGTGAACGGCGGGTAGACGGAACGGGGCGGGACGACGGTGACATAGGCGGCGGTTGGTCATAAGAGCGTCTTGACTGGCTGGGAAAGTTGGAGGCGACCTGCGGTTGCTGCACACGATTGCAATATCGTGCCACATGACCGACGCAACCGCAAGCAAAACAGATGGGGCGATTATCAGCAGTGCGCCATTGGTTTGCTGGTCGCATCCATGTCGCAGAACGCGATTGGCGAGCCGGCTGCTGATATGAGTGCATGTTAGGCGGCACTCGGGGCACGTGGGTGACGCCGGCGTATGTAGGCGAGACAGGTTCTCCAAAGGCCTGGGGCCTCGCGACGGTTTCGGTGTAATTTAGCGGAACAGTGACAGAAATCGGTGGGGGCGGCCTGGCAACAACTTGGGCGTAGCTGAGTGGCACAGATGCAGGAGGTGGCTGGTGGTATTCAGGGACGACCTCCGCGATTTCCTGCTGAATGGCTCGGCGGAGCGGAGGTAGAAGTGTACTTGATGGCTGTTGAGCTTGTTGTGGGGAAGCAAAAGCCAGTAGAGAGACCTGGCGGGCAACTTCCTCACGCACGAACGACTTGATTTCGGCGAGCAAGGTTGCGTGGTCTGGAACTGCTGACAAGGCCGAGAGATCAGCATCACGTGGTGGCGGACGACGGGTCATCAAGCGCTGCCGCCGCAGCTCGTCGTAACTTTGGCATAACATGATGACTTCTGCCACAGTGCGGGGGTTCTTTGCCAGGAGCATGGTGAAGGCATCGTCGGCGATGCCTTTTAGAACATGCGTGATTTTGTCAGCCTCTGACATGTTCGGGTCGACTTTCTTGCACAAGTCAAGGATGTCCTCGATATAACTTGTGAAGGACTCACCGGTCTGCTGGGCTCGTTCACGTAAACGCTGTTCAGCTTGCAGCTTACGAACAGCAGGGCGGCCGAACACGTCGACGACAGCGGTTTTAAAAGCGGACCAAGTCGGGAAATCAGATGCGTGGTTATTGTACCACATTCCGGCCACACCCGCAAGGTAGAAGAACAGGTTACCTAGTTTAGCTGCCTCATCCCAATGATTGGGGACGCTCACACGTTCGTACATGGCAAGCCAGTCCTCGACGTCGGTGCCATCCGCGCCGGTGAAGACAGGAGGGTCGCGGATGCGGGGGACACCGGGACATGGCGGCGACGTAGGAGGAAGGGTTTGCTGGGCGGCGTCTTGGTACATGGTTGGAGGCACGGTACGGGATCGAAGCTCCAAGGGCATCGAATGCTGACCGAAGGTGTTTGAAGGGCACAGCACTCTCAGCACTCTCCACCAAATTGTTAAGCGGTTTATTGACGGACACTCAGCGATGATTCACGACAGCGACAGTCAATGCGGGGATCGACTCTCTGCACGAGCTGCTCTTCTTCTTAAGAAAAAGGGCGACCCACTAGAAGGCGCTGAAGAGGATGACCCACTGTTCAAAGGCTTTACCACAATATATATATATATATATATATATATATATATATATATATATATATATATATATATATATATATATATATATATATATATATATATATATATATATATATATATGCAATTTTATGATGAATTTAAGTTACAGCCATGGCACAGCCTTCTTCACAGAATGAAAAATGAACAGGGCATGTGGCGGTTTAGGGGTCGTGTATAATACACAAAATTGAAGCATTACAAGGAAGGATTAGGACCAAATTAAGTTTTTCTGTAGAGAGGTCATGTGTTCCCTACCTTCCCAGTACTGACGCAAGCATTAAAACAGGACATAAAGGGGCCCTAGAACACTTTTTGAGCACGGTCAGAAAACGCTGTCGATCGGTAGTCGAGGCTCCAGAGAACACACGAGCCAAATATAGCACAGCTCACGGCCTGTAATTTGCAACAAATTCTCACACTAAGCTGAAAATCTCTCTCTCTCTCTCTCGTGAAATGACGTAGGATTCCCAAAATCATTGCGTAAAAGCCAGTGTACCAGCCGTTGGCTGATTTGAGCATGGCGCGCTCATTCATTACAGGGATCACCACGGGAGGTCGCGACTTGTCCACACGTGCGCACGTGATCGCGCTGAGAAGCCGCGCATTCGAATAAAAAAAAAGAAAAGAAAAGTGCTCAACGTCATGAGGGCGCACGTGACGTTTTTATTCGCTTGTGTCATTGCTCCCTGCTAAGTTTTTAGTCCTTTTATCGGCAACAGGAAGTGAGTAAGTGAGTGAAACAACCTTATTATGTCCACAATAGCCGCGAGTTAACTCAGCGTCACCTGGCTAGGCCCACTCGGGGACGGTCAGGTTAAACCTAACCGCCCTCGTGCGGGCCCTCTGGATGGCCAGAATTTGAGAGGTGAGGTCCTTGGCCTTAATCAGCTTGTTCACTTATGCTTGTTGAAAAGAGGAACTGAGAAAGACACAGCTTCATAGGGCATGCTCGAAGTTTCCATAACCACCACACAAGGGGCAATCCGGGCGTGAGAACCACTAGGGGTATATTCTGTGCAGTGCCGAAGGGCTCGGTTAAGTTCTAGTTTGGAGAAGTCTGAGAGTTACAGCTTGGAAAGAAAGAATGAAATTGCAGCGTGATAGAAATCTTTGTAACTCCGCTCACTCTGGATGATTTCTGAAAATTTTGCGGTGGCGAATTCGCGAGGCAAAAAGCTTTTTTAGTGAATCCATTAAATGTGTGCCTGGAAAAGTACTGCAGGGCCCCTTTAAAACACAGTGAAACATAAAAAAAAAACGTGGACGGATAATATTCCACCCGATAAACGAAATTCATCACTCGTCTAGAAGCGAACACGTACTGGGTCAACGCAGTTGGGTCGTGGGTGTACCAGGCGAAATCGCACGGTCTCCTTCGAGACAGTACCATTGCAGCAATGCGTCGTGACGTCGTCCCAAAGGCTGCAAGAACAGAAAAGAAGGCATCAAACATTGTATTTGGAAAAGCTACGCCACAAGGCAAGCCCCGAGACACGGGCTGAAGCCCCGCAACCAATCAGGGATCGCGAAACGCGAACCAGATAGATGAAAAGCTCACTCGTCTCCGAAGAGGCCGTGGTAGTAGCCGAAAAACATGATCGCCTTGCCGTGAATCTCGAAATCCACCGCCCCGTTGCCGATGGCGTAACCCTTGGCGAAGGAACGATGCGGATGAACTCGTTAGTGAATTCCATCAAACGCAGAATGACGTCGTAGAAGTTAAATTTGTATAGGTACGACTTGTATCACATGTGTTTCAGTATATGTATACACTGCGAAAAGCACACTGTAGCAATATTCTCGCAACAAAACATAACAATACCAGTACTACCCACTTGATACTTTGCCCATTGTATTGCATTTATTGACTTGAATGTAAACTTTCGACAGAAGTCTGTCTGATTGGGTATGAAACTGGGAAATGATTTAGACTCCAACCGAAAGTTTATTTATTGTCATAGCCATGGTACAGTGAACTCCAATCAAAAGTAATAAAATTTCATCGCAAAACTTTAGCGCGACGCCTAGCATGCACGTTAAAAGCAATAGAAGTCGTAGCGTTTTTTTTTTTCATATCTCTGACTCCTCAGATTTAATAATGCTGTGCGATCAATGCGAGCAGAGCATTCTGCAAATCAATTGCAGAGCCGCAGTGCCGATACCTTTCGAAGCAATACTGAACAGCCGAGATTTCAAATGAAGCGATTATTTCATAATTTTGAATCGCAAGACCAATGATTGAGTGTAATTTCTGAACCGCAATGTGTTCTCACTAGCGGATAATCGAGATATTGATTAGCAAATATTAGGCAGGCATTCATATCTCTCAGCAATAAAGAGAAACCCGCCTGAAAAGACCGTTTTGCGCTGGCTGTTAAAAAAATTTTTGCTTCCTTTCTTTTTTTCAACAGTATGAACTGAAGGGAAAAGATGCACTTTATGTCATAAACTATCGCCCATGTAAAGCTGCGTACCTTGAGGTTTATCCCGTGGGGTTGCTCGAGGAGCCGTTGAGTAAGCAGGGGAACGAAAACGCCGGCATAGCTCTCGCCAGTCACGTAGAACTCGTTCTGCCTGAACTGAGGGAAGTTGTCGAAGAACTCCAGTACCGCCCGGTAGTTGTCTTCCGTGGCCTGGAAGTCGTCACTGGAGTTGCTCCCGGAAGGGTCGTACGAGTAACCGACCCCCGCCGGAACCTCAAGGAATATCACGTTCGCAACCTACGTGTTGAAACAATAGAGAGTTTTAGTACTGCGTACGCTGCGTACGTGGCGGCGTTGCGTACGTAAGGACGCCACGTTCTGCGTAGTGCGCATGCGCAGACTGCAACGCGCACGTATCGCATCAAGTACGCTGCCGCTACGTACGCACGCATGAGATGCGTGCGTGCGTACGTATGAGGTGATCGCGCCGCTCTCGAACAAATTCGCGACAGCGCGAGACTTCGTTTTGCAAAATGGCGGCATCGAAGGCAAGCACCGACCGGCTCTGTGGCTTAAAATATGGCCATAATCTGGCTATAACACTTGGATTGGCTCACATTGGCTGTCAACAACACGTACTTCTATTTTGATATACCAGATGACGCAACACGCTTCACGCTCGTTACGTACGCGGGTACTACGGCGTACTAAAAGCCGATTAGTGGCAAACGGCGCCACGTAACGCAAGGCGCTTGCGTGATGCGTACGTAGCACCATTCCGCAGTACTAAAACTCTCTTATGGGTGACCGCAAGGGCTGACGTTGCGGCAGTCGGAATGAAACGCACAGCGGGAATCAGTTGATATAGTCGCGGACAACATTTCTTGGCAACGAAGAAAAAGCTATACGGGCGTGGAGCTTCCGCACGTGCATACTTCTACGAAATGTATTCCGGTTTGGCCAGAGTCTCGTAGGTCTATGATGACAACGATGGCTCCGCCCTGTTACCGTTGCGTATATATACTGACGCAGGCACAGCTTAGCGTTTCAAGTACACGTTAATGGCGGGATTTACTAACGCCCGCAAAAATAAAAAGAGGTTACGCATAAAGTGAAATATCACCTATGCAACTGACGCTTACTGATTCTTGTCTCAAAAAGCAGCATGTAAATGATAAACTTCAAGTTTTTACATCTTACACAGAAAATACGGACGCATCCCTAAAACTATACATATATTGGCGGTAGGACACACACGATTTGGCTCTGTAGCCTTCACTTCATTGCGTTGCCAGTAATGGCGTAATCATTGTTCAGGCTAGGTAAAGTAACCTCAAGGCAAGCAATAAATCAATGAGAATAGATAAATTCTTCTTCAAAAGCACTAATATTGCTACTTTCAGTGCCATAAGTTTATCACTAAAGGAGCAAATAAAAAAAAACGACAGAGTTTCATGCTCAAATTTCGCGTCGAACTATCATGGCATGAATATGAGAGAGGTATCGCGGATTTCAAAGTGTTTTTTTTTCTTGTATTTCGGGTTTATTGCCTGAAGAACACTCCCTTAAATCGCCCTCAAGGGAAGTATACCTAATATTCCGTACGCTTCGTTCTATGACGTCATCATGACTCGTGCGTAAAGTTCAACGCGGTACCGCCGCTTGTTTTTTTTTTTTCGCACGTTTTCTAGTTAACCAAACACTTTCTGGCAGTAGGAGTTGCATTTTTTGTATTGCAAATGAATAAGCAGTTATCGTAAAAAGCATATTGTTCTAATCAGTGTGTCCCTAAAGTCTGACATTTTGCTGTTTCTTACAGTTACACCCGTCTTAGTTTGAAAAATGTGACGCCTGCAATATAGAAAATGGAAAAAAAATGCACCATGACATGTGAATTTGTAATGTTCAAAATAAGGTCCTCAAAGTACACCAGGTAGCAAACGATCACTGCTCCTTCGAGACCAGATTAAAAGTAGCTTTAGCTGCCTTTGAAAGATTAACGTGTGGTTGCGTACCGACTCGATAAGTCGAGCAAAACGGACACTAGCCTTGTTCCAGCTGAACGGGTTCAAGGTTACGTTCACGCCCGAAGGATCGATTCGGAACGGACCCAGCTCCATGGAAAGACCAACGAGTGAGCTACATCCGGGTCCTCCATTCATCCACAGCAGCACCGGATCCTCGGTCGGAGAGCGCTCGCTTTCCAGGAACCTTGGCGTAGAAGACAAGAATCATAAACAAATTGTTCGACTGTGCAACGAGATTCCTACGATACGGTAGGGAGACTACAAACATCGCACAATTTAGGAAGCAAATTATGCATGTAAAAATTTGAGCACACTTGTAGGATGACCGCGCTGAAAGTATGTGATGTATGTAATAAATCTTTTGTAATCATCGTTTTCTCATTACAATTTGTATGTAATTGAACGTATGGTAATAATGCTGTTGATGCCTCTAGTATTTATCGCTAAAAACAGCTTTGTTTGAGTATTTGACTGATATTGCTTCAATTGTTGTAGCGTTCCACGTTTGTTTATTGTATACTTGTACGTATGTTATTGAACATTTATACGTGTTGTTTTGCTGCGCCTACCTCAAGTGCCTCCCGAAAAATGGGCCGATCCAGGAGACACATTCCTCTTTCGACCCCTTCATGGACATTTCGTTTAAATGCCCAAATAAATAAATAAAAATGACAAAAATAATGTCAGCTTGTATTTCAGTTCAGAGTATAGTGTAACAGAATAATGAACACATGAGAGTATCATAAAACTCATTGGTGTAGCGTAGACGGAATGAAGTTTCGATGTAGAAACGTGCGTAATAAAAAAAAAACGTCTTTTAAATATAATCTCCAATGGCTCACGCAAATCATGGCTAAGCAGTGCAGTAAAACTACAGTGTGCGTTCTCTTCAACATTGCTCCCAATGAATGCCGAGAACGTAATGATGGTAGCAGGTGCATGCATTTTTTCATTGGGATGACACCATTGTTATTTAAAACTTTCAGCACGTTTACTACAAACTCCACAGTAGAGAAAAACACTGCATGCCGATAAATAAAGCTATCATAATGCACTCAGACGCAGTTCTACAGTACGTCAGCAACAGTAGGTTTCCTTGTTATCGGTGATTACTGATACCGACACTTATTGCAACATGTGTCGCACAACGAAGAAACCAAAACTTTGGTTTGGCGGAAATGAGCAACGGTAAATTTCTTTATGAACAGCATGCTGACGTGCAAGTCATTGTGACGGTAGCCTCAACAGGACGGAAAAATTAGCAGTGGCTTAGCTCGGCTGTGCCGGGAGATATGCCTAGCGTGAGCTACGGGACGGACGGACGACCGAGGATGGACGGACGGATGACCATGAATGATGGACGTACCGATGGACAACTACGGAAGGACGGATGGACCAGCGAGTGAGGGAGCGATCCCAAACACCAGCCCACTTGCTCCACACGTCGCTCAAGGGGCCTCCAGTGAGTATAGCTTCCAATAAAGGCTTTAACTTCCAGGCGATCGGTGCGCCACCTGTGTGCCATGTGACGTCACTGCTCCTGGCGCTTTCGCAAAACCGCTCACCGTACGCTAAGGAAATAGGGGCCAGAAAGAGGGTGTAGAGAGTGAGAGAGAAAGAAGAGAAAAACGCACGTCTACTCAGGAGAAAACAAAAATGCACACACGAGGGGCGTTCTGGCTCCAACCGTTCAGAAAGGCCGGTCCATCTCAAAAAAAAAAAACGCAGTAGCTCTTGAGGGGCCTTCTTCTGTGACGTTGCGTCCAGTCGATGTTGTAAACTTCTTTCCTCCGACACAGGCTCGTTATCTAATTTGCTGGGTTCCTGGCGAAGGCATCTATAGTCACTGTCAACTATACACTAGGCAGTCACAAACAAATATGTCGGGTGGTTTCTTCGTTGCCACAGTGGTCACAGGCGGCGGTGTCGGCCATCCCAATGCGGAAAGCGTAGGCGTTGGTAAACGCAACGCCCGACCACAGCCTACATAAAAATTCCGCCATATCCACGAAGTGAATGACGATGAGTGGGCGAAGCTCCGGAGGTAAACCTGGTAAACCATGAATCCTCTGTACATTTTGCCCACTCGATTTTATTACATCGCTCCCCCTAGCGTACGTCGCCGCACTAAATGGAACGATTGCCTTCAACCAATGACACGCGCCATATGTGACATCATTCCTATTTTATAAGATCTCGCGTCTTTCATCAACTACAAGTACCGCTTTCTAGTTTATAACATCTTGCATCTTTTCATCATCAGCTACAAGTACCACCATCTAGTAAACACTACAAGAACTAAACGAGAGGTGGCTACATACAGGAAACGGTACCGCCATCTAGTGAACACTGCAAGAACTAAACTAGAGGTGGCTACATACAGGGGACGGTACCGCCATCTAGTGAACACTGCAAGAACTAAACTAGAGGTGGCTACATACAGGCTACAGGGGACGCACAGCCCACGCCCTAAGGAGCTTCGCCCCTAAAATGTCTTGTCTGCTCGGCGAAGCCTCGACGAGACTTCAAGACTTGACGTAAAGTCAAGCGAGTACAGTCTGGCATACTTGGAAGTGCGGCTGATTCCACTGCGACGTGGTTTGTTGACGAGCAAACAAGCGGAGCTTCCGTGGAGCATCGGTCCCAGAAAGCGGTAGTTGCGGTTCATGTTCTTCAGCGTGGACTGAGCGGGCGGCTGAGCACGTACAACTTGCTCTCATATGCTGTCCAAAAATTTATGCACCATTCTGCTGAGTTTGCAAAAACATGCTAGTCCTGTTTGCTGATTTCGCAAAACATGCTAGCCCATCTTATTCAAACCTTTGTGTGGGATAAAATGTTTAAGGTTTTTCGGGGCCGGTATTATACAGAAGGTATATCGTCTTTTCTCGAAATGGGTAAGTGTTGCAGATGTTATAACGCTGAACCGATTAACTCATTTAACTTTGCAGGAACGGTGGTTACAAAGATGGAACAAAGCACTGTCACCTACTTTGACAGAATTATTAACAATTGGTCTTCAAGCGTCAATGAGGTTACGGCATCATCAAGTATGAGGCCCACAGGATGGCTTTCAGCTCTCCCATAGCAGAGTACCTAGTACTGTGAATCATTAATGGCTTCTTCTAAACACACATAGTTGAACACGTTCTGATAAACGAAAGGTCCTCCAATAGTAGAGTACATCGTTGTATTGTACTCTAACTCGTCGAACATTTCTTCGTTCTAAACGCAACGTACTCAGTATCTGCTGCTGCGGACTGAGAGCATAGAGTAATGTACCAGCGGTCGTGAAGTTCGATATCCGTTGACGGAACTTTTCTTTCTCTAAACACGGATATTAGGTATATTAAACGGACCATGACATCTGTTGTATACGCTTTTGCGGACATTTTCACCAAGTCCTGTAAATTCCGCATATACATGATGTACATTGTGTATGTTGGGATACCTGTGTAATTATTAGTCCCTAGTAGCACGTGTTCGGGACACTCTACAGGGTTGGACATTTTTGTTAATAGGTGTCATGTATATGGTGCTTAGTCATTCATTTATGTTACAGTTCTTGTTGTATAGACATTTTTTCTATGTGTGTGTAGCACCCCACGACAAAATTATTTTTTTTTCTAAACACGAGAAACTAGATATTTTTTGTTAACGAGTTTTTTGTGGTTTCAAGATTCCAATAATAGCAGCGGACGTTGTATACTCCCCCCCCCCCCCCCAAAAAAAAAAAAACTTCCAGTCCCCTCATTTCTAAGCTCCTAGCACAGAAAGCGCATTTTCATGTTTTTCATGGTCAGGAAGGCGTTTGTTCAATTATCAGATAAAAGGAAGGTGCATAAAGTTTTATAGAATCTCTTATATTCTTTGTTTTGGCCAAAAGAAAAATTACTTCAAAATATTTTGCTAAGTAAGAGAAGAAAACTATTAGTAGAAAATTGGCGGACTATACTCGCTAAGTCTCTTCTTGCCGGCTGATGCTGTGAGGGCACATCGATGGACAACCGGATGCCGCGAAAGGCCCATGATTTTACACAGTGAAAATATATATAGTTGCTTGTTAGCGCACAGTGTACTACTGCTGTGTGCGTAGAATCACGTGCAGCGTTTGCATCTTATAATATTGTAACGGGGAGTATTTAATAAGTGAACGCCGGTTGGGCTAACACTGCACACAGTGGGCAAGGTTGCAGGACAACAGGGCAGTCCAGACAGAGCCCCACAACAACATCGTCGTCTTCATCCCTTTCGATGGACAACCGGATGCTGCGAAAGGCCCATGATTGTACACAGTGAAAATATATATAGTTGCTTGTTAGCGCACAGTGTACTACTGCTGTGTGCGTAGAATCACGTGCAGCGTTTGCATCTTATAATATTGTAACGGGGAGTATTTAATAAGTGAACGCCGGTTGGGCTAACACTGCACACAGTGGGCAAGGTTGCAGGACAACAGGGCAGTCCAGACACAGCCCCACAACAACATCGTCGTCTTCATCCCTTCTGCGTCATTTCTGCATCTGTGCCCGAGGTACCTTTATATACCCGTGACATTACCCCGATTGGCAAAGCACCGTCCCGGTGCCTCCTGTTATTAGACGGACGGGTCACTGTGATAGGGCTTCAGGTGAGACACATGCACAGTGTCACTTATGGATGTAACAGTGTGGTTCGTAGGAGAAATTTCGAAGGTGACAGGTGTGACTTGGCGTAGAACTCTGTAAGGCCCAACGTATTGCGTTAAAAGTTTCTCGCACAGGCCGACACGACGGGATGGCAGCCACAGTAGCACAAGAGAGCCCGGAGAAAAATAGGCATCCCTACGTCGGCTGTCGTAGAGCGACTTTCGTGCTCTCTGGGACGACGAGAACCTGGCGCGGGCTACTGTACGTCTGATTAGAGCACGGGAGATAGCATCTAGGGCGTACGAAGTGGTGGACGGAAGGTCATGCGCAAGCAGGGTATCGAAAGGTAGTAAGGGATCACGACAAAAAAGAAGATAAAATGGTGAGTAGCCGGCAGTTTCATGACGCACGAGTTGTAGGCGAAGGTTATGAACGGAATGGCAGTGTCCTAATTGGTGTGGTCGTCAGAAACATACATAGCAAGCATGTCCGTTAGTGTGCGGTTGAGGCGTTCAGTAAGTCCATTAGTCTCAGGACGGTAAGAAGTCGTAAAGTT